AGTCTCCCCTCACCACCCTGAGCGCCTCGACCGCCACTTGAGGGAGGAGAGTGAAGGCGAGTGGCGGCTGCGCGATGGGCCTCGTGTCCCGTGATGATGGTGTTAGTGGTGATGATGGTGTTAGTGGTGGTGATGATGGTGATGATGGTGTTAGTGGTGGTGATTAGGGTGTTAGGTGGTGATGATGGTGTTAGTGGTGATGATGATGGTGACTGACATTCGTGGTTATGTTAGTGGTGTTGGTGGTGATGAGAAATGTAGTGGTGGTAATGGTCACTGTTGCTGTAATGTAGTGTTGATGATCACGATGGTATTCGTGGTGATGATCACGATGTTAGTGGTGATGTTTTTGTTGTTAATGGTGATTACTGTAATGCTCGTGATGATGATGACGATGAGAGACGTTAGTGGTGATGATCGCACTTCACATGGCCTTCAAGGTGCACCGAGCCTGGCACAAGCGCTGTAGCGACGTCACCGCCACGGCTGCCGCTGCTGCTATGTACGTGCATAGTGTTAGTTTGTGTCAGCGTGTACCCGCTTTGTGTTAGCGCGCTGCGAACCCGGCGACCCGGGTTTGATTCCCGCTCAAGTGACGATTATCTGAACCGATCCTGGGGCTCCCCTAGGTCGACTCAGCCTCAAATGAGTACTTGGTGTGGTGTGTAGTCAACATCGCCACCGGGGAGTCAGAGGCGGTCGGGCGTGGCGCTGGCCACCAAACTCCTCTTGTGGCGTTCTGTCCTTCATAGGTGCTCGCTAACAGCACATGCCCCCAACAGACGATGTTCAGGCGACACGGGGGATCTCTCTTTGCAATTGGTAGTTTGGCCAATTGGAGCGAGTCTGTCTGCGACTCAAAAGGCGCCACAGGCATGGAGAAGGGTGGGGTGATCTCGGGTAGCGAACCTGTGGAGCAGGGGAAGTCGTCCGACTTACAGCGAACTGCAGGTGGTCAACTCCCCGGTAGGAAGCATCAGCAAGGTCCCGATTCCTTTGGGAGCTTCAACTCGAAACACGCTCGCGTGGTTCCCATCGTCAGTGAGCGAGAACCGAGCGACTTTGACTGCCGCAGAGAGCAACAACGTAACGTTGATGTCGACGCACACACGTGACCTCCGCTCCTGATCTTATCGTGACCTCACATCACGCACTGCTGGATGGCGAATGTATGTGGAACTTTTTTCGCACCTTACGAGGCCAACCGTGCAAATCGGAGGTGCGATGGTAAGGACAACAAACTGTACACTAAAAGCAGCTCTAAAGACACGATTTATTTATTTATTTAAACGTGCAGAACAGCTCCAATGGCTTCCTAATAATAGATGCATTGCATTACCCGATTGTGGCCAATCAATAACAGTTTAAACATAACAGTTTTAATCTTGATTTGAAGTTTTCGTGACTGCAGGAATCCATACTCTTTGGTTCTTTCGGTAAAGTCACGAAGGTTGAAAAATCAAATAAAACAAAAAATAATATATCACGACGTTTTGAAGCGGTCGTCCTCGGGCGGGAAAAAAGAATCCAGCAGTGGAACTGCTGAACCAGCAAGAGAGCTGTTACAACAACAAGAGGTTGTTTATGTGGCGATGGGCAAGCAAGCGGGGTCTGAGCTGGAAAGGAATTCCATCCCCGGACGCAAGCACGTCAGCTGTGTTAATGGCGGAGATTAGGGAGAGAGATTAGCATAAAATGAGCTTCCGTCACCGCATAAGAGTATCATCCACACATATGCACACAACAGCAGTGTTAATGGGAGATCAGCACTATGTTTATGGGAGAGATTGGGCAGGGAGATTAGGGGGATTAGTAAGTTAATGTAAATTCTAGATTTGAAGCTTTCGTGACTGCAAGGATTCATATTCTTAGGTTTTTCGCTAAAGTCACGTAAGTAAAAAGTTAAAATTAAAATTAATAAAAGTAAAATAAAATGAAAATAAAATTCACGACGTTTCGGAGGCAACACAAGCTTCCATCTTCAGGTGGAACCATCACAGCACGCTTGCTGTATCAAGTAAATGTGAAATTCCAAGAGATACTACCCCGTATATATACGTCGTGATTTTATTTTTTATTTTATTTTACTTTTATTAATTTTTATTTTAAGTTAATGTCAAGTCTATGTGTAACACAAGCTGCGGCGCTGCCAACTGCACTGCGAGGCAAGCGCATCCACGCGCCAGAGAGACACAAAGCCCATCACACAGCCAGACATGGAGGCTAAGGGAGCAGAGGTGGCCATGTTAGTGAGACCCCAGCCCGTTAATGCAGAGGCACCTAACAGGGAAATGCAACTCAGAGAGTCGGAGATAACAGCCAAACGGCAGGGAAGAATGGAAGCACCACAGCAAGTTAGGACTTTGCTTGGTTAATAACGTCCTTCCAATGATTGCTCAGCTTATACCCATCTTCTCGGTTGAAATTGTCTGTGTTTATATATCTGGATAGCTTCATGGACAAATCTTTGATGGTAGCCCGAAGGTTTGCAGAGTACCTTGGCCACTGACGTGCTTGCATCCAAGGATGGAATTCCTTTCCAGCTCAGACCCCGCTTGCTTGCCAATCGCCACAAAAGTAACAGCTCTCTCGCTGGTTCAGCAGTTCCACTGCTGGATTCTTTTTTTCCACCCGAGGACAACCGATTTGTGTTGCAATCGAAACCTCGAAATATATATTATTTATTTATTTAATTTTTCTGCCTACGTGACTTTACCGAAAGAACCAAAGAGTATAACGATTTTATTTTATCTTCTTGGTTCTTTCGGTAAAGTCACGTAGAAGGGAAGTAATAAAATAATAAAAATAATACTTAATAAAATAATTCTCACGACGTTTCGGCCACAACGCAAGCAGCCGTCCTCAGGTGAAAAACATGTCTGTCGATAAGACAGAGTCTGAATGACACGTCCTAGGCTTGGAGCGTCTATTTAAGCTGGGAGGAAGGAGGAAGAGCGCCTTGACAAAATAATTTGCATATGAAGAGGAATTTAGCATATTTATGGGAAATGCAGGAATGCGAATAGTGCTAATTGTGAAATGCGTGGGAGGTGGGCGGAGGGTTTTCAAAGTCATATTATGCCCATGCGTTATGCAGGATTAGCAGCATCAAAGGGAGGGGGTAGGGGTAGCATTAATAAAGGGAAGGAATGTTAATAGTATGTAGCTGCAGTAACTAAACAACCACGTAAAAAGCTGAAGTATAAACTACATAGTATCATCAGTATGCTAAATATACTCTCAATAAGCTGAGCTACTAACCGTAAGTAATACATTACAATTCTAGGTCGCAAAAAATATAATATGCTTCCAGCTAAACTTTTTAAAACGTTTTCCTTACATCACACGGGTCTATCCCGTACTATATGCTGCCATAGACAAACCCAACATTTAATTGTATACTGTATTACTATACACTACCCTATGTCTTAGAATAATACATAGTGTAATATTACACTATGTATTATTCTACCCACCCAACTGTATACCACATTGCTGTATATTCACTATACAATTACGATACTATATATTATCTTATACATTGTATTAAACATTACACTTTAATACTATTTATTATTATACAATATGCTATACACTATACCATTGACCGTCGCGTGAAAGGTACTAAAAGGAAGCAACGAAATATGTCAATGGGAGAGTGGTGGTAGGAAGCTTGCAGCGGAGCAAAGAATCCATTCCCTGCGGAGAATACAAGATATATAGTCAATGCCAGTGAGTGGAACGCGGTCTGAAAGTCACCGTAAACGTGGACACAATCAATTAAGATCCGAAATGGTTTATTACGTCCTTCCAATGATTGCTAAGCCGGAATCCATCTTCTCGGTTGAAATTGTCTCTGTGTTTGTATATGTGGATCGCCTCATGAACGAATCTCTCATGGTAGCCAGATGGCTTGCAGAGAACCTCTGTCTTGGAGAAGTCAATATCATGTGAACCCACTGAATTGTAATAGTGATCTGCCACGGCTGAGGTGTTTGTCCTACTGTGTTTCAAGTCTGCTTTATGTTCACGGATGCGGTCCGAGACATGTCGTTTGGTTTCTCCAATGTAACTGCTACCACAGAGGAAACTTAGTTTGTAGACGCCAGGGTACTGTACTTTAGCTTTTTACGTGGTTGTTTAGTTACTGCAGCTACATACTATTAACATTCCTTCCCTTTATTAATGCTACCCCTACCCCCTCCCTTTGATGCTGCTAATCCTGCATAATGCATGGGCATAATATGACTTTGAAAACCCTCCGCCCACCTCCCACGCATTTCACAATTAGCACTATTCGCATTCCTGCATTTCCCATAAATATGCTACATTCCTCTTCATATGCAAATTCTTTTGTCAAGGCGCTCTTCCTCCTTCCTCTCAGCTTAAACAGACGCTCCAAGCCTAGGACGGCTGCTTGCGTTGTGGCCGAAACGTCGTGAGAATTATTTTATTATGTTTTATTTGTATTATTTTATTACTTCCCTTTTACGTGACTTTACCGAAAGAACCAAGAAGATAGATCCCTGCAGTCACGAAAGCTTTAAATCGAGATTTTATTTTATTTATCATTTTATTTCAGGAGGAGTCTCAAGACTCGTTTTCAGGAAAGGCACTTGGCCACGAATCCCACGAGTCGTGGGAGCTTGGCTTCGTGTGGGAGGAGGAGACCGCAAGATCTCGGAGACAACCCCAAGGACGAAGTCCACTTCGCCCACCTCCTCCTGTAACGACTCGTCACCACCCGGCCATATCGCACGCAAACCCCTCCAAAATTTGCGCGGTTCACAAATCTCCGCGTGATCCATCAATGCACAGCATCCAGAGGGCTGGATCACAGGCGTGCGCACTACCACACAAGTGTCCAGGTTGGATCGGGAATCTATGTTCACGGGTGGAACTTTGTCGCATGGAACTACTGCACGGTGTTGAAGGACCCAGGCTGAGAGACGTTCCCAGGTTTGGTACACCGCTACTGCCGATGTAGATGCAGAGCAACAACTGCAATGTTACATTCAGGTGGTCAAGCCGCAGATACCCGCATTCAGGAGTAGCGTGAGAATAATTTTATTATGTTTTATTTTTATTATTTTATTATTTCCCTTCTACGTGACTTTACCGAAAGAACCAAGAAGATGAGTAGCGGAGTGTATCGCTGTAATGTCTCCTTCGTATTTGTGGATTGGCGCATTGTGTCGTTATACATTGTACAGTCTGTTCTGGATGACCACAGTCGCACACTACTGGAGAGTTTTCCATTTTCCATTTGTGCATCAGGTATCATCCGCATCCACTGCCATGGTTTGTGCAGTGGATGCAGTTTAGGGTGGACCATGAGCTTGTTCGCGGTAGTCCGGTTCTGATTTTCACTCCCACCATAACCACGACGCTCCGGGTTGCCCGGGCCGAGTTCCACCCCTGGTGGCGACCCTGGCACCACACGTCCATGAGCCATTGCATTGAGGGACTGCTCCTGTGTGGAGTTATCTTGGTGTGGTCTGGGACTGTTGTTTGTTTTTACCGACTTTCTCAAGCTTGGTAAATCGGAGTTATATAATAAAAAATATTTACGTATTTATATTTAGAGACTTGATTACCATTTTCTCTATTTTGCACTATCGTTTTTGTTGTTGAAAAAGAGCTTCATAGCTCATCAGATTCCTACTGCAGGCTAAATAAATTGATTCAGATTCTGATTGGCGATGCTTTTTGTAAACAAACCCGTGGGGTGGAATCAACTCGTTTGCAATGGTTCCACAGGGTGTTAATAGACACACAAACATTGGGGATACTGGCCTTATCTCTAGGAACATGGAATTTCCACCACTGGTCCAGAACACGCAAGGATGTAAACGTCTCTGTGCTTTGGCCCGCGTCTCACACTGTGCCCCCACCCCACCTCCCTCCCCAGCTCTCGAGGTGGGGGAGGGGGGCGGATCGCATGGAGCCTCTCGTTGGACACTGCGACCCCCTTCGACCCCCGGGCTCATGCTCCCCACCAGTGACCTCGGCACCTGCTCTGGGTGCAGCACGAAACTGCTGGTCCCGGAGAACGGTGGTGCACCGGCCCTGCAAGCCCCGCGCAGCGACGCTCACGACCCCCCGTGGCGGTGGCGGCAACATCGGGGTCGCATGGGGTACGGGCTCCTGGAACCACCTCGACCTCCCCGAGGAGCCCTCGGCCTCTTGGAGCACGTGGCGGCCGCTGTGCCGGGCCCCGTCTCGGTCCTGCGAGAGCCTTCCCTGTGGCGAGGGGAGCGGCGGGAGAGGCGAGACAAGGAGACGGACGGCGAGGCGCTGGAATAGTGGGGGGGAGCGCTGCTTGTGGTGCTGGTGGCGGTGAAATAGGTGGTTTCGGTGGACGTGGAAGACGAGGTGGTGGTGATAGTGGAGGAGACAGTGGAGGTGGTGAACGTGTTGTTATTAGTCATAGGAGTGGAGGAGATGGTGATGCCGAGGAGGAGTCGGTGAGGAGCTCTCACACTGCCGTGCGCGGTTCGCTCGTGAGCTGGCTCGTCCAGGAGATCCCCTTGGAGCCAAACCCAAGTGACCCCTCCGCCCCGAGCACCAAGCAGGGCTCCCCGCACAACTCCAACCTCACCACTGCGCCGCCCATCCCCGACATGCACCTCCTTCACCTCCCATTATCGCGCGCATCTTCCACCTCGTCGTCGTCATCGTCGGACGACGACGACGATTATTCCGGGACCCCCGCGGTGGCAGAGAGGCCCGCGTCAGCTTCGGGGCCCAGGGTTGGAGGGAAGAGGGCAGCCCTGGGGCGTCTGGTGAACGGGGTCCTGGGGGCCCTGGTTTCCCCCGAGCGCCTCCTCCACCACAGGGTCAGGGTCCTGATGCGGGACCCGGCCACACGGCTCGGGGAGCTGGCGTGCCGCTTCAGGGCCCGCGTAGGGCAGGAGGTCGCCGCGGTGGAGGCGACGAAGGCAGCGGCCACGCCAAGCAGGGCCAGCGAGGACGAGCAGAGGGGCGAGGAGCGTGGGGACGAGGGAGATGGCGAGGTGGAGGCGGCTGAGGAGGAGGAGACAAGCACCACCTTCTTGCAGGAGTTGGGCGCCGCGCTCGCCGACATCCGGGAGGAAATGTCGGCGTCGCAGGAGCTGGAATCCGGAGTCTTGCAGCTACTACCGGAGGAGAGCCGAGGTGAGCGGCGATCTCCCTCCTCCGCACAGCGCGGAGACGAGGAACTACTTTTTGGAACGGCGACTCTCTTCTTCTTTGGTGCCTCGGCCTTAACGCTCGGTTCCCTGCCTGCAATGTTCCCCATCTGTCCACTGCTTTCAACATCCTAGTTCTTGAGTGACTGGAGGACTGCTCCGAGAGTTCTCGACGGGCTATCAAGCAGGAGGCCGTGCGCTCCACTGCTCTGCTCTGTGCCCGCAGGCCAAACTCTGTTTTACCCTCCGCTTGTGTGGGAGATGGATGCTATGGGCCGTGCAACAATGTCCCAGTGCGACGAGTCACTGTAGTCCGGAATTTATGAGAAAGCGACAATGTGAATAACTCTTTTGTACTTGTATGGTACACTCCACCGTGAGCTGTTTTTTACAAGAATGACCTCGGTTACAAAGACTTCGGTTACAAAAAAACAAAGCAGGTGTCAGGGGTTGGGATCGAGCCCACGATCTCCTGCATACCAGGCGAGGGAGTTAACATCTCTAACAAACGCAATCCAGGAAACCAACATTCAAGTCATGCACAACTGAAGTCAATGCTAGCAGCTAACTCAGAAATATAAAGCTAGGTAGGGGTCACTGATGAAGACCTGGTCACTTTTGCACTGGGCCATGGGGATACGAGATACATGGGGTCATGGAGTCATGGAAAGTGAGACACGGGGCACAAGGTGTGAGGACACAGGACATGAGACCTGAAAGCCTCAGTCTCAACCCTTTTTCTTAGGAGGCTTCTGAATTGGGACGTTTTTTTTAAAGCAATTGGAGCCCTTAGTGCCGAGCCGAGTGGTTTGGCCGTGTTCTCGGAAGAGGCTGGCATTTTAACGGAACTCAAGTTCTCATTTAGAACGTTTTTTTTCTTTCTTGCTTCGGCATCGGTGCCCACGAGTTTCCGGGTGAGGTTCACGTTGCTTGCTGTCTTGGTGCAGACTTTCTGCAAACATTTCAGCAGCTCAGGCCTCATCCCCGAGCCGGTGTATATTTTTACCGTACGGCTGGTTTCTGGACCTTCTCATCGCAGACGCGTTGAGCTCACCGTCCGTTTACGTGGAACTCCACGGGTCTCGGGTCATCGATTTGAACGTATTGGCGGTACATCGGCGGAGCGCGGTATAAAAAAACAAGATCACATTTTTGCGCAATAAATATTTGCTCACTCGATTTGCAACTGAAGAGGCTTCGCAGTCCTATAGCAACTCAGCCCTGATGACGATCGGTTGCTCCATGTTCCAAAGGCAAGATTTGACTCCTCGTGCCCTAGACTTGGTCGGACGGTTCCTCGGTTCATGAGGAATAATTTATCGGCAGACGGTAGCATCAAAAGATTACGACTTGTAGCATCACACGGTTCGAATGGGAAAGCGGCTGCTGAATCTAAGTAGTGCAACTTCTGATGGAGAGTCTACAGCTCACTCAAGGGCAACAGCGACATCGTCAGACTGTTTTATGAGGACCTAGCGTACCGCCAATACGTCCATTTGGCGGATGTTGCACAATATCCCAAAAAATATTCCGCCATCAAGTTCTAGGTCCTGTGCAAGGCTTGGCCTCACCTCTCTCCGAGCTTGGTGGTCGTGCACCGGCGGGACGCTCTCGATTTGGCGACACACACAGGTGTGCAGCACCACGTGTCCAGACGCTTTAAAGCCCTGTCCAGACCACCAACTCTAAACAACCGTGTGGTAATTTTTGTCATTTAGACCAGTGACTGGCGGAGTAGGAAATATGGCCGTCCCAACAGCAAGCAGTGAAACAAGGACACACAACCGAAGACCGGTTTAGTCCTCATTAGGACTCATTGGGACGGCGCAGCCACCAATGTTCTTTGTCACCGTCCGCCACCGGGATGTCCGGATTTTCTCCTAAACGACAAAATGGCCTCGCATTTAGTTCCATTGGACTGGTGGTCTGGATAAGGCCAAGGGCTTTTGTGATTGGCGTAGTGCTACACAATTCTACAGCAAGCAGCCCATGGGCACATCGCCACCGCGGCTGGAATGACCCCCTATCCATGCTCTGCGGTCAGAGAGCGCGAGGTTCGAATCCTCGCTTGTCTCGCACTGCCTTCTGGGAGTCGAGCAGCAGAGTTGTGCGGACGAGCGCTATAGGAGCGGTACCGGAGCGGTACAGGAGCGATATAGGAGCGAACGATAAAGGAGTGGTATAGGAGCGATATACGAGCAAGCGGTATAGGAGCGAGCAGTTTAGGAGTGATATAGGAGCGAGCGGTAAAGGAGCAGGATAGGAGTGTGCGATAATAGGAGTGAGCGGATTAGGTCAGCAGCTTGTGAGGCGCACAGAGGAGCACTGTAGGCCGGGCCACGGTGATGATAACCCGACATCCCGTTACTCGTTTTATACACCCAATGTGACGATCATCACCCCCCACCGTGCCCCCCCACCCCACCCCATCCAGAGTCGGTGCTAGAGTCGTGCCTGGCCGCCTGCCTGCTGCGCCCGCTTCACGGCGCCATCGTCGCCTGCCTGGAGGCCCGGCGAGGTCTCGACGGCTCAGCTTCCCGGTTGGCCCGGGGCCTCCGGGCGGCACGCGGCGGGCCCTGCCCCTGCATGTGGTGCGGTGGGGAGCGGCCCCTGGCCCCCCCCAGCGTAGAGGGAGTGAGGAGGACTCTGGCGGCGATGGGGCAAGCGTACGCGCCGCACGGCAAGGTGGCACGTCTGCTGGCGGCCTGCAGGCTCGTGTACGACGCCATGGGCACGGCCACCAGTGGGTGATACCGGCAATGGCATCATCAGCACCATAAGCAGCACCATCATTATCAGCACCATCAGCAGCATAATCAGAAGCACCATCAGCATACTACTGAGCCAAGAATGTGTCCTGCACGTGACGTCACTCCATGAGGCCCACCCCCCTCATTAATATTCATAAGTGGGTGGAATTTTACACTAACGCAGAGGAAGGTCAAGGTAAAAAATAAATCTACGCAGCACAGTGCGACATCCGTGCGTGACGTCACTGCTAAAGAGCCCCCCCCCCCCCCTTTATTAATATTCATGCCCGCGTTACGCACTCCACATGCTGCACCCATCCACAATAACCATTAGCGGGTGACGTCACTCCACATGGGACAATAATAATGAGCGGAACAATTTTATATTGAATATTTCAGATTTACTGCAATATACACCCATCCTAGGACAGGCAAAAAGCTAGTCAAAAGTAACAAAACAATTATAAGCATGGTTGTGAAAAATTATGCCTGTGTTAGTCTATCACACCCAACAAAAAAAATTCCACATCCTATCAGCTGCTGTCGATACAATGAATGTTGAAAACCGGTCCACGCTTTTGCTCGTATTGAACCAATGCTCGTGCGAAGATGATGCACTCATGGTATGACGAAGGAGCGTTTGTCGCACTTACGTAATCATCCTTGATCGCGACCAGCGCTGAGGCAGCCACCGCCCCTCGGTGCGTGTCCTTCCATCGTGTCGATGTCAGCGAAGCACCACGCGGTGCCGCTGCCGCCGCTGCGACGTTGCCGGCGCATTCGTTTATTTTTGTTAAGTTGCTGCCATCGCCGTGACCACGATGACGTTTGCGGTGCCATTGCCAGGCCGGGGGGAGGCGCTGGGCGCCGATGACTTTGTGCCGGCGTTGGTGCACGTGGTGTCACGCGTGGAGCTGCCGTCACTCATCGTGCATGTGCTCTACGCCATGGAGATGATGAATCCGCTCGCCCTGCACGGGGAGGGTGCGCCACTCACCCCACTCCGATTTCACCACTATACCCGCGTCAACGCTCACTCACTCATGTCACTGCTCACCCGTGTAAACACTCGCTCACCCAAAGCAACGTTCACGAACCCACGTCAATGCTCGCTCACCCGCGTTGCCACCGACTAACCCGCATTACCATTGGCTCGCTCTCAACATCCCCCATGACTCTGCTCTAGCAGACCGACAGAGAATATAGCGTCTGTATTTAATGTGGGGGCTCTGCAAGACTCTCCTCAGCGCACTGCCTAGGAAGGGGGAGATGCGGAATAACCCTTGCCAATACCTTTCCTCGCCTCACACCCCCCCATCCCCTCCCTAGAAAGAGAATATGGCAATCCTGCACACAGGCGAACACACACTTCCGCCTCCCCCTCAATCCCTGGGATGTCTCCCTCCATCCTCCCCCCTCCCATCCCCTGCCCCCCCAGGAGGCTACTACCTGACTACGATCTACGGGGTCCTCTTCATGCTAGAGCGGGAGCCGAGCGGTGGCCGCTGCGAGCGGCGGGGCCTCAGCCGCCGGGCCCAGCGCTCGCTGCACAGCTGGGAGCGCAGGCGCACCGCCAGGCTGGCGCGCCGCTGATGGGGCCCCACTGGCCGTGATAGTGCGGGGCGGGGGACACCCCCGCCCACAATCGCGACAATAACCGGTGTCTATTATTTATGCAATAAAACGTCAAGACAGTCTCGCGTCTTGGTCTTGTTTCCAGGAGTTTGGCGGCAATGATCAACACTTACAGGCCAGTGCTCCATCATCTTGTGCTGCCCTCCTCCCCCCAAGGCTAAATAACTGCACTCAAGAGATGCTTCGTTTGGATGTGGGCGCAATGCAAATGCAAGCAGCAGGGTTATGGTTTATAATCCTGGAATCCGGCCAGGTGTTTCAAAGGTAGAGCGGCTCACGTTCGGAAGCTTGCGACTTTAGATCCTGGTGGGGGGTTAACTCAGGCCAATTGCCCCACCTTGGTGGATAACACGAGTCCCAGTGTGGAAAGACTTGCCCCGCACCGCTCCCCTTCCCTTCCCCTGCCATAGGAATGTGGCATTTCCACCACTGGTTCAAGGGGCTGTAAAAACAAGATGAACACTTCCTCAAAGCTCATTTGAGCAGCAGGACATCACTTGGGACTTGAAGTTTTTTTTTTAAGTTGAGTGTGTGCGTGGGGCCGGCAGATCATCAAGCTGCGATTTGGGATTGGAACGATTTCCGCACACGCGAGAGGGGAGATGCCGCTCGCGGAACGCCACAGCGGTGGAGTCGAGACGCACGCAGAGCGAACTTCGCCCCTCTTCCGACGGCGGCAACGAACACAGTTGCATGCGCGCGCGTTGGGCCGGCGCTGTGTTCGTGCCACCGCGAGCGGCCATCCGGCACCGTGGCGCTACCAGCGTCTGGCTCGCCGCGTGCTGAGCTCGCTCGGTGAGAGGTACCCGCATGGAAAGACGCGGCCGTGTAAGCTGTCGACAAACCGGGGTTTATTTTTCTGGGTTTCAGTAACGGACGACAACGTTGATCCCCAACCCTCCCACCCTCCCCCCAACTCTCCCACCCTCCCACCACACTTCTCAACTTTGACCCCCGTTTGCCGACCCATGAAACTAAAAACCCACGTCAACTGTTTTTTTTGTTCCTTCCAGCATAAAAAAAATCTCAGCTAAAAAAATTACATTGCAACGTTGTGCTCACATCCGACAGCCGCCGCACGACGCCCGCAGTGTACAACTGTAATTTACCGCGTGACATTTTAAACACTCAATTTCTGTTCCGGCATTTAATGACAAAAAAAATACATGACCATCATGGGGGATTAAAACTATGAAAAACGGTGGACAGAGGAAACGAAGTAAATGGGGACGGAGCGCTCAGAGACGGGGGTCACCGGGACAAGAGAGGTCGGCACGAAGCTATGATCCTGGGATACCTGGGTTCGACACCCCAACGACGACGGACAAGGTGCGAACCGCGACGTGCGAACTTGCCCGGGAAGACCCTCCCCCCCCCCCCCCCCCGAGGTCAACTCGGCCTTAAAATGAGCCCCTGGTCAGGTGGCCCGGCGGCAGGCCGTGGTCCACGTGGAGGAGTTGATGCACCACCCCTACCCCGTGTCCCGTGTCTCAGTAGCGAGAGTAGCGGGAGGTTGGGGGGGGCATGGGAAAGCTGCCTCGGCCCGGGTAGGAACCCTGGTGGGAGGGGGGGGTTGATAAAGGGGAGCACGGGGGGGGGGGGGGTGGGGGGGCGTGAGCCCCCATTCCTCAACAACACACACACACAAACTCCGCCAAGTAGGGGCGAGTGCTGTTAGCATGTATTAAAGACAGAACTACAAATACACCTCCCTCCCCCGGACCCAACACCCACCAAACCACACAAACCACTGACCACACCCAATAAACTACCACCACACCCAACACACTATCAACACAAAAATCACAAAACCCAATCACACGGCACAGAAACACACCAATCACCGTGCAGCCTTAACAGACTGTTGGGGGCAAGTGCTGCTAGCGAACACCCATGGAGGCCGGCACAGCAGACCACGGGGTGGGTGACCAGCACCATACTCTGCCGCCTTTGTCTCCCCAGTGGCGATGTTTATACACGGCGCACTAGGTACTCATTTGTGGCTGAGTTGGCCGAGTTGACCTAGGGGAGGCCCAGGACTGGTTCAGATAATCATCACTGGTATTGGCCGTGAGTGGGAATTGAACTAAGCTCACCGGGTTTGGAGTGCAGCGTGCTAACCACTACACTACCGCTCCCCATCGACACGCGCACATGCACGCATACAGACGCATGCACACACCCGACCTCTTGACTTACACGGGGTGCTCCGTGCCGCGGCTGGAACATCTGCTGCTGCTGCTGCTGCTGGACCCCCCAGCTGCCGCCTCCACTCTGCTGGAAGTTGCCCCCCCCCGCCGGGGGGTAGGATCCCTGCGACCAGGCCCCCTGGCCCCCAGAGCCGCCCCCTCTCTGTGTGGTCATCCTGGGTGGAGCAGAGGGGAGAGGGTCGCAGGCGTTCACGCACAAACCTCCCCCCAAAGGCAACTCTGTCCGTCACGGTCTTAGAGACACCAGCAGAGTTGTCCAGGCGAATGTATGGGGAGCTCGTGGGGTGAGCGAGTGAGCACGTGGGTGAGCACGTGGGTGAGCGAGGCGGGTGGAGGAGGTGGGTGGAGGATGTGGGTGGAGGAGGTGTGCAATTGAAGCAGACGCCGGCCCTCACCGGTTGGAGAGTGGGGGGTTGTAGAGCTGTCGGGGCTGTGGGTTAAACCACTGCTGAGAGTCTTGCCGCGCTGGCACTGGGTCATACAAACATCTCAGATTAGCATGGTTGACAGCGTAAGGTGCGAATAAAGTTCAACATACATACACACAAATACAAAGCTCCCCCATATAGAAATAACAGACTGTTGGGGCAAGTGCTGCTAGCGAGCACCTATGAAGACCGGCACGGCACACGGCGGGGGAGGCCTGCACCACGCCCAGCTGTCTTTGTCTCCCCAGTGGCGATGTTTACACACTGCAATAGGTACTAATTTGAGGCCGAGTCAAAAGACAGGTTCAGATAATCGTCACGCTGGTGTTGGCCGTGAGCGGGAATCGAACTCAGGTCGCTGGGTTCGGAACGCAGCCCGCTAACCACTGCACCACTGCTATCATAGAATACTCGATAGAAAAAGTTTCAGTCCAACGAACAATCAGGGCGCAGGAACGCACTACGTTATGGAGCTGTGGGGTTCGGTGGGCAATGCTACCGCATGCCTACATGGAAGACTGCACACTGTTGAGTGTACAATTTGTAAATTTTATTTAAGTAAGTTTTTTTATATACATACTGTACAGTATAAAATGTTATTTTGAATGTACATTTTCTTTGTTTACAATATGAACGGCAAGTTATGAAGTGTTTACAGTGTGAAATGGTATCTGATGAAGGCTGGGCACGCATACTCATATTATTGTTATAAGTTATTCAATCTACGAAGTTTCGACATACGAACAAAGCTCCAGGAACGCATCTGCTTCGTATACCGAGGCATTGCACGACCACACAGTTTCAAGCCGTAACTTGCACAGAATGAATTCAGACAATCAACATCACAAGGCGCACACGGTTAGACAGAACACGCCGCCGGTTGCAGGTGCCGTGCATTGTACCGTGTGTGCTCCCTGCGTTTTTTTACCGCAGGTGTGCACGAGGTGAGAAACCGACGGCGTGGCCTAGCGAGTGTGCAATATCTTTCTGTGCTGATGTTACCATGTCGTGGGCCAAAGAGCATGGACTGTCAGCGTAAAATAATCGATGCGAGGATGAAACGGTCAGGTCCGGGGTGCCACCCAGATAATTAATTATTTCATTAATTCACTCTCTGGGTCATTCACTCGGGCACTCGGTCGCTCATTCCCCCAGGACTCACTCTGCCGGTTGCTGGGCTGAGGCTGCCCCTGGCCATAACCTCCGTGAGCCTGGGGCCAGCTGTTCCGAGAGGTCGCGGCCTGGGCAGTCGAGTGCCTGTGGTGTCGAGAAGGCAAAGTGTTCACATCCACACCACACGGCCTCATCACCTATACGGTACAAACTCACCACGCACACCACAAGGCCTCACCACCTGTACAATACAGCCTCACTAACCACACCACATTGGCCTCACCACCTATACGGTACAGCCTCACCAACCACACCACATGGCCGCATCACCTATACAGTACAGCATCGCCACTCACACGCCTGCAGATTTAAGAGTCACTCAAGAGTCACACACAGACTCTCTCAAACACTGTCACTCACCACTCGCACAAACAGACTCTCACCGTCACTCGCTCACACCGACTCTCCCAGACACCAACCCCACCGGTGCCCCTCACGCACCGCAGCATGTTGAAGGAGGCCTGGCCCAGGTGCTGTTGCTGCCGATTGGGGTTGAATCCGAGCTGCGGCTGGTAGTTGCGCCCGGGGTTCCTTTGTTCCCAGTCGCCCGGCTTCAGCACCTTCTCCGCTTGCCTGGGGTCACGCGGGGGTCACGCGGGGGTCAGTACGCATGCGTGCATATGTGCGCGTACGCGTGTGTGTACGTGCACGAATACATGTGTGCATACGCATAGTGACGGAACGGTGGATGCAGGCCCATGTCCTTGACATCAGGACCTACCGTTGAGCTGATCTGCCCACTGACCATCGACTTGTCATCTGTAAGATGCGCCTGCCATTCTTCCACTTCGGTGAAATTTCCATTTGGTACAGATACAATGGGAGGTTGATCGATGGCCAGGTTCGGTCAAGGGATGGCTCCCTATTGGTCAACCATGTTATGTATGCTGATGATCTGGTAATTGCTGTTCACTCGGCGGAGGAGTTTAAGTCACTGCTGCCGAAGCTTACCACTTAGAGGTGGGGCCTTACGATTAGCCCAATCAAAACTTAGCACCTGCCTGGGAATTTTGCACCATCGGACCCTCCACCCCCACAACTCCCAATTGGTGATGAGGCAGTTGTGGAGAGTGGAGAGAGTGGAGAGTTTTCCATACCTGGGCAGTATGCTCATGACCGGCTCCGGTTTGACAGCAGAGGTCTCACTCCGAATCAGTCGAGCGGCATTATCTTTTCATCGGCTGCGTAACGCTGTTGTAGCTACCTGGTCT